TTATCGGCCACATCAATCATATATAACTTCACACTTTTATCCGACTTTAATATAGCAGGAGGTACCTTATAATGTTCGAACTTTGCTTAAAACATACTTCACAACTATATCACTACGCGGCAACTCAAATTACTCTTCATATTATTTCATCATCAACACATCAAAACTAACCTCTTGCTCACAGCAATTGGTATAACTTCTTTGCTCTTCCAATCCAGTTCCAACTACTTTTCTCCTCCACCCACTCACCAAAATATTTAACACCCAAAACAACTTGTCCCATGTAATAATAGCCAACAACCTGTAATGCAAGAAAAAAATATTCTTGAATGTTGTAAGGGTTCAAATATTTTAAAAAGAATCTGCACAGTCGCTTATATGGTCTGGTGTATCGCTTAAGCGATCTTATGCCATTTACTGATCGCTTAAGCGATCTGCTCCTATACACCAGACTTTTAGCAATCGCTTAAGCGATCTTATGCCACATACCTGATCGCTTAAGCAATCTATCTACTGCATTACCAGACGTACCAGATCGCTTCAACGATCCATCATACCCAGAACACATTTTCAGTCATCCCACCTACAATCGATCCATCAACCTATAACCCATACCCAGACAAATTTTCAACATATTTCACTCCTTCAATTCCATTACGTCAAACATAGACCACAACCTAAACAACTAAATCAAATCATAACCAAAACCCAATCCATGCTAAATCAAAATCATAACCCAGATCTTTGTAAACCGAAATATGAAATCGAAAGGGAGATACACATACCTACGAAATGTCAGGAGGGAGGAGGAGAAGGAGAAGGATCTGTGTGGAGAAGATGTTAATGGCGAAGGAATGCGTTAATGTGGCGGAGGAGAAGAAGAATGTGTTTGGGTTTATTTGCAAAAATTTCCACTCTTTGAAGACATATTATAATTTTTAAAGATTACACAATTATTCATAATCCTAGTTACCTCTATCTATTTAGTTAAGCTCAATAAAAATAAGGCTATTTAGTTAACATTTACAAACTACATAGCCTTTAATTAAATTTTAACTCCAAGTGTCTTTTTAATGAACTCCCCCGAAAGAATCCCCATTCTTTGCAAGCTAAGTGCAGCCTCTCCAATTCATAATCCACAGAAGCCAATTTCTGAAGATCAATGACAGGTACAGATGGAAGACAGGAGTCATGGGTGGCAATCGGAGGGTCCTCATGAGAACGAATGTATCGAGGTTGGATGTCTATGATGGGTTGTTTTGCTAATTCCTGAACACTTGGTACTATTAAAGATTTACCAAAGTTGACTGCCTCTTCCTCCTGTAACTCTAACTCTATCACTAACAAACAATGAAGCAGCAACAGTAACCACAGGTTAGATTGGAGACAAAGATTCCGGTTTATCGCAAAAAGTTGGACTTTGATAATGTTGAAATCTATCCTTACTGGTCTAATGACGTTCCATGAATAAATTTTCTTTTATATATTGTTAATATACGATAGGAAGCATCTAACAACTCAAACAATTGGGTTGGATAATGGGTTTTTTGTGAATATTGGTAGAACTCTTTAAAAAATTGGTTTGTCAAAAAAAGGGTGTTCAAGCCTTTTATAACCCACTGTCCAATTCATGAATAAATTTTCTTTTATATATTGTTAATATATGATAGGAAGCATCTACCAACTCACACAATTGGGTTGGACCGTGGGTATTTTGTGGGTTTGAATAAAACTCTTTTAAAAAATTTGGTTTGTCAAAAAAGGGTGTCCAAACCCTTTATAAATTGGATTTGTCAAAAATATATATGATTTTAAGAGATATAAATGGGAAAGATTACTAAAATCATATCATGAAAATTAAATAATTATCCGAACTAATTAATAGAACAAAAATAGTTAAGACATTTATTAAACTTTTAAGTGAAAGTTGTAGGAGTTTACTGATTGAAAAGAAAATTATTTTTTTAAGAAAAAAAAAATCAAATACAAATATTACTTAATATTATAAAAATGACGACTTGAAAAAAGATGGACCTAATATTAGAGCCAGTGCTGAGGTAGGTTGGGTGACTGTGACCAGTGACTCTATCATATAATATAGAGTTAATTATACGGACCTCCTCTGAGGTTTCAACATTTTACAGGTACAAAGAAAAAATTATCATCAACATTTTACAGGCACAAAGAAAAAATTATTAGTTTAAGTACAAACACCTCATCCATTCAACTTTCTTTATTGTTTCTTTAGGGTTTTCTTACTCACACCCCTTCAACATATAAAACTAACAAGTTACCCCCATAATTAGCCACTTACATCTCTACCATCAATTTTTGGTGTTAAAATTGAGAGTAAACTACTTTTTCCACCCAAGGTTTGCCTTAATGACACTTTCCCACCCAAAAAGTTTCAAAATACAGTTTTTCCACCTAAAGTTTATATTCCATTAATATCCAAAATACACTTCACTTTTTCAGTCGACATTCGGTGAGTTATCAAGAGTTAGGGTGAGAGGGGTTTTATAGAGTAGAGGCCGGTTGATCGATAAATGGTGATAGATTGAATATTCATCGGCGGAATCAGTCGGAAATCAGCTAAGAACAAGAAAGCCTAGCTTTGCAGTAGTCGAGAATCGACGAGAAATTAGGTGTCTTGGTAGAGAGGAAACCGGAGGTTCAAATGGTAGTGATGGAGATAATTTTTGTTGCCGAAATCAGTCAGAATCGGTTTTAGATATTAAACGGAATATAAACTTTAAGTGGAAAAGTGATATTTTAAAACTTTTTGAAGAGAAATGGTCATTAAGGCAAACCTTAGGTGGGAAAAAGTTGTTTACACTTAAAATTAAATGAGGGAAGGGAAAAAAATGACCTTATATTTTAAAATAAGAAGAATTATAAATAAAATATTTTTAAATAATAAAAAGAATCATTAGGGTGCGTTTGGTGCTCTGCACAGGACTGAACTAATTTTTTCGTACTGAATTGGATTAAATATAATATTGTCACATATTTATTTGTTTCAACATTGTACTTAACTAAATAATAAATATTATTAGTATTCAAAAAATAAAATATTTTAAATATTTTAAAAAATTAAATAAAAAATTGAAAATAAAAAAGTTTTAAACTGACAACGGGGTCGCCAGCCAACGCTGTTGGAATCTAGGCTCAGTCTTCGATGACGCATCTGATAACATCGGGTGCGTTTGGTTTAGTATTTTGGGTAGGATTTTAGGGATAGTATTGGGTTATTGGATATGGGAGTATTACGAGGTAAATTTTAAAAATTTATAAAAAAGCCCTTAGGTTTACTAATTTAAATAAAGACCCTAACATGTAAAATGACAAAAACACCCCCACCATCTGCAGTGTCAGATTCCGGCCACCACCGCCGGAATCTGGCCGAAAAATTTTGTTACGGCATAGACTTGTCGGATCTGTGCCGTAACACGTCGTTATGGCCTTTTCCGGCTAGATCCATGGTGGATCTGGCCGGAAAAGGCCAGATCTACGGTTTGTATTGGCCGTCGACGGCCGGAAAAGGCCAAACGACGGCCATCTTTGGCCGTCAGCGACGGCCAAAGATGTGGCCGTCGTTGACCGTCAACGACGGCCATTTCTTTGGCCGTCGCTGACGGCCAGATCTGGCCTTTTCCGGCCAGATCCGTGGTGGATCTGGCCGGAAAAGGCCACAGCGGTGAACTTCCGGCCATTTCTGGTCGGAAGTTTGGCCGTTGTACAGATTCCGGCTATCATCGACGGTGGTTGCCGGAATCTGACAAGTTGGGTTGATGGGGGTGTTTTTGTTAATTTTTAAACTTTTTTTTCAGGGGGTATTTAGTGAAATTAATAATCTTATGGGGTTAAAATGTAATTAAAAAAAATAGGGTAATATTTTGAGAATATTGTACCAAACGCTATTTGAAAAATAGGATCCAGAATAGGGATAAAAATATTAAACCAAACGCATACATCAATATCGTGTTGGACAATATATCCAATGGCGCAAACATGAAACGACACGAGACCTATAATAAATTACTTGTAGAACGTTGGTCACATTTTGGAAGTGATCAAATACATGCCAAGCACAGACACATAATAAAAAAGTTAGCGGTGGTTGATGTGTTGATTTATTCTGATTTAATAATTTAATTAACTAGTCTAAAGTAAAATTTAAGTTAATTTATCCCCGTATGTATCACGTGTTAATAGTTAAAAAAAATTACATAATATTAACTTACATATAAATTAAAGAGTAAACGACTTTTTTCCACCCAAAAAATTTTAAAATACCACTTTTTTCACTCAAAGTTTATAATTTGTAAATACCTAAAATACACTTTCTTTTTTCAATCAGCACTCTAAGAGTTACCATGAGCTAAGATAAGAGGGGTTTTATAGAGCGGAGGCCGATGGATCGAATGGTGGTAATTGATTGAATATTCACTACTGAAAATTAGCTAAAAATAGAAAACCCTAACTTTACGATGGACGGTAATCGATGAAAAATCATGTGTCAGCGTGAAAAAGGTTTTGTAAAGAAGAGACTGGAGATTTAAATGGTGGTAACGGTGCTGCCGGAATTGGCTTTGGGTATTGACAAATATAAAATTTGGGTGAAAAAGTGATATTTTGAAACTTTTTGGGTGAGAAAAGTGTCATTAAGGCAACCCTTGGGAGGATTTGATCACTTGTTGAACCCTAAATAAATTAAGATGTAATTAGAAGTTAATATATAACCCACATGCACCATATCCTCTGTTGTTAAGAGGATTTCTCTCTTGTGCAACATGTGTCAGTATTTAATTCTATATTGATAGAACACATCCACATGCTTTTGTTTATAATTCATTTCTCTTAGCTTCCAGGAAGTTACCCAGATCTTAATTAAATAATTCATAAAATTCAAAAAGTTTAATTAATTTCCTTCTTTTCTGTGTATATAAATACCCTTAATGCCATTTCGAGGTTGGTATGTACTATTGTTTTTACTTGAAGCGATGATCAATATGGCATCATCTCAACCACCACTTGAGAACTCTGAATTCTCCATAGTTAGTGTGCAGGAACTCATCAAAGACCCTAATATCACTGTGCCAAATAGCTACTTTCGTCCAGATCAAGAGCCTCCAAAACCCTTAAACGGAAACCATTATTTCCCTGCAATCCCCACTATTGACTTGGAACGTTTGGTTTCCGAGGAACAGGCGGAGTTTGAACTAGCGAAGTTGGAATCGACGTGCAAAGAATGGGGTATCTTTCAGGTTAGTAATCGTTAGTGGAACTATGAAGGTTCGTCTAGTTGATTAATTTTAATTTCATGAACCCAAGTTTTGTGCTACTATGATGTAGTTGGTGAACCATGGAGTTAGCTCTTCACTGCTGGAGAAGCTGAAATTTGAGATCCAAGAATTTTTTAATCTTCCTCTAGAAGAGAAAATGAAATACAAAATAAAGCCTGACGACTTTGAAGGTTATGGAAGCGTCGTCCGATCCGATGGAAAACTTGATTGGGGGGATAAGTTGTACATGACAACTAACCCTATTCACATGAGAGAATCGCACCTTTTCCCAGAGCTCCCTTCATCCTTAAGGTCATCCATCCTTCTCTTGGATCTCAGAGAAATAACATCTTTAATTTCTTTTTGGTAAAATTTTAATGGTTTTATTATCTGGCATTTATTATTTATTTAATAGTGCATGCACATGCAGGAATACTTTAGAGTATTACTTCCAGGAAATGCAAAATCTTTCCAGAAAACTTCTTGGAATGATAGGAAAGACTCTGAACACGGAGATTAAAGAAATGGAAGAATTGTTTGAAGATGGGATGCAATCAGTGCGGTTTAATTATTATCCTCCATGTTCAAAACCAGAGCTGGTTATGGGTCTTGCACCTCACTCTGATGCTACTGTTATCACTATTTTGAATCAACTTAATGGAGTTGATGGTCTTCACATTAAAAAGGATAGCGTTTGGATTCCCGTCAGCATCCTTCCTGAAGCTCTTGCGATAAACTTGGGAGATATTCTAGAGGTTTGTCAAACCTTCTTTCTCGTTTCTCTTAAAGTAAAAATTAAAGAAATAGAAAAGGAAGAATAGAAAACTAATAATTAAATATATATCATATAGTATTCTCTTCAGTATAAATGATACTGACATATAAATAATAGTTTTAAGATCAGGATTTTTTCTCTACTTAATTTTTACTTGCATAGTCTCAAGAATCTAATTTCAAGTTAATAAAAAGCAACAGAATTGTGCGAGAGATATTTACCATATTTGTGTAATTGTCTTAGTCTTTTAGATTTGTAAGATATTTTATAATCCTAAGAATTAAACAAACTTCAATGTAAGTTTAAATACCTCAAATACCTAAAAAGAAAAAGAAAAAGAATTGAGAGTTTCTGGGTTTACATTTGTGTAAACTAATATGTTTATGTTGTAGTAAATAACTTGTACATTTTAATTTTATTAAAGTGGTGAATAAATCTACACAGATAATGAGCAACGGACTTTATCAGAGCGTCGAGCACAGAGCATCAATAAACTCGGCGAAAGAGAGGATGTCAATTGCTTTTTTTGTCTGCCCCAAGTTTGATGCAGAGATTGGAGCTGCAAGAAGCCTGATAATTCCTGAAAACCCACCATTATTTAAAAGAATAGGGACGGAAGAGTACTTTAAAAGCTTCTTCTCCCGTAAGCTCAAAGGAAAGACAAACTTGGAGTACATGAAGATTGAAAATGGTGAAGGCATGCACCACAATATTTGAATAAATGGTCTTAATATTACTGTTTGGAAGCTTTGTAGTATTATCTCACTGACATGCTACTACGTGCAGTAGAAGATTTAATCTATGTAAAAATAATGCGATCTCATGGTTTCGGTTCCGGTCGTTCTTGATAATCTTCTATTTGGGCTTTTGCTTTCTTTAGCCCAGCCCATTTAAAATGATAATATTTGTAGCCCATGTCGATCCTTGGATTCCATACTTCCTTTAACAATCTTTTCTTTATAAACAAGAGTGTGAGTGGAATTGGATCATCATTTATAAAAGGATTATTATTGGACACCCCTCCTAAGGTTTTAGTGTTAATCAGTCACATCCCCAATGTATGAAAAATTAGCCTTGAGCTCCTCTCACTTTGGATATTAATCATTCTCGTAACGGGGTAAAAAATACACCAATTAACATAAATCCCTAAACTAACAGCTAAAGGGGGAGGTATCGGATAATTGTTCAAATGTGAGGCGAGCTTAAGGTAATTTTTCATACTTTTGGGGGTGTGAGTTACTTGAACTAAAACCTCAAGAGAGGTGAGGGATAATTGTCCTTTAAAAAAAATATTTATATCAAAGAATTAAAGATGACATACCTCGAGTTTCTATAAACAGAAAATGAAGAGAGCCTTCCCTTTTATCTCCCACTCTCCTACCATATCAAGATATAATCGTGTTCTTATCTAATAAGGGAGATACCTGAAAGAAAAAGCACAAGAGAGTCCACAATCTTTAAATATTGCTTTAGACCCCACGTATGTAGAATATCATGGATGATATATATCTGAAAAAATGGGTATTACTTGTACCATGGTTTTAAAACCCAAATTGGCCCGGCCGGTTGAACCGGTTGGACCGGGACCTAGGGCCTTCTCTGGGTCAGGTTACCTTTTCAACTGTTTCAAGTTTAAAATCTATCAAACACATACTTGATTAATACGCATCAGTCCCTAAAGGTTTGAAATCCAACAAACAGACCCTCTAGCCAAATGCAAATCGGTGATCGCCTCCCTTTTTCTGATGACCTTCCACCTTCCCTTGCTATCGAAAACCACCTTCTGACTTTCTCCAGGGCCCTAACCCTTCATCTCCCGCCACCGTGCAATGTTTCATCGTCCAACAATTTTTCTTCCATTTCCCAGCATCGTTCGCGCCTTCTCCGACATCGATAAGCCTCATCAGCCACCAATCTACCTTATCCCAAGCTCCCTTGCCTTTGTTCACGAAGATCCATAGTCATCTCGCCAAAAAAAGTCACCGCGACCGTTTGATTTCCACCATCGATCTGCCACTATCCGATGATGCCTCAACTTGCCAGCTATTGATTCATCCTCCCCATCACCTGATCTACCCTCTCTAGTGTGTCGCTACCACTCTCTTAGTCGATCGTCGATTTGATTTGGCCAGAGATTGTGTTTGCTAGATTTCAAACCTATAAGGTTTGATGGTATTTATTAAGGGTGTGTTTGCTAAATTTTAAACTTGTCAAACCATTGGTTAAACCAGTTAACCCGGTGGCCTAAACAGGTCACCCCCAGGTCGGGTTTTAAAACCTTGACTTGTACAATTACTCGTCGAAACAAATTTAAAACATCATCCTTTGTCTTTACAGACAAATACATGCTCTTCATTGGCTTTTCCAAATGGAAGGACCACCGCACCGATAAGGGGAACTCCATCGGTATGTCTATTTTGTCACTCCCAAAAATTTCCCTACGCAAGACATTAATGCGCTCTAGTGCCCAAATCTAAAAAAAAAAACAAAAAAACAAAAAAGAAGAAAAAGGATGTGGTTAAATTTGAAACATGTTGTGGCATTTATTCCTATAATATTGTTAATAGAAAAACAAAATTTCTTACCATCAAAGCATATGAACAACCTAAGCAGTATTTGGCTCCCCCTTAGCTCACATATCTAGCTAAACTCTTGTGAAGAATAACCAAGAGCATCTCACCCTGTGAGTATTCACCCAAACTGTGAATATCATCGAACAAAGATGTGTAGCAAGGGTTGACATAACAACTAGAGCTATCGGCGGCTATAATTTGCCTAGAATATACAAAACTACTACTTTAACCCTATCAACCAAACCACCATCCCTTCTTGTTGCCATATCTCTTAAAATTTTCAACTGGATTCCCCTGCCCTTAACGAAAAAATTATCAAGAACTCCTAGAAAATATTTATTTACAAATGTTTCACCATCACTTTTCAAACCTAAAATAGGCTTGCCCTTTATAGGCAACCCTATGATGTAAATGACATCTTCTAAACCTAAGTGAAGGAAAACATTATCATTTAGCCCAAAACAAGACGTCTCTATCTCATAAGAGGTATCCAGGGCCTCGATTACTGGTGCATAATGCTTTGGAATATGTTGTAATTTTACCAAGTTATCCAATCCCTCCTTTTCAAGCTCTTGTTTCACCGCACTTTCAACCTCAAAATCGTGAAAGTTATATGCATGCTCACATACTTAGAATGTCATTGTTCCTGAAACAAAAGTCAAGAAAGAATAAGGATTAATAGATTTCATTAAAAAAACAAAAAATAGGCTTATGTATCTTGCCTAACAAGCAAAAACACTGGACAACAGCAAAGAAAACATAATGTTGCACCAGCAATAAAATATACCACAAAAAACACCCCAAATAGCTCTATAGCACAATTGAACTTAATCAGCAATAATTTAATAACAGAAACCCAACACATCTTAACCATTTTTCCACCCACAACTAGTTGGTCAATAACAATTTCTTAAGTTTAAGTTAGAAACACTCTAAAGTCCAAGCTACAATATTTCATTAATTAAACACAAACTAGAAGAAAACAAGTAGAGTTTTCTTCAAGAAAAGTTAGAGAGAGAACAAAACTTCCCAAATCTCTGTATAATCTTTGGTGATGATACGAGTTGAGGGATAGAAAACATTGCAAGAGCTGCTCATAAAAGAATAAAGAATAACCCAGCATTACAAGAAACCAAGGGGAGCAAGGAATCAAGCCCCCACTAAGAGACACAACAACCATAGCAAGCCTCAAAGACACGCAACAACAGCAAGCATACGCCACAACAAAATGAAGCACCTCAGTAGCTATAGAAACCAACCGAGCAGTTGTGCCACAACAGCACCCCAAAAACACACCAGTAAAAAAAGCAACCATTACAAAAAATTTCTTGAACTTCAAATGGAAGTAACCACCATTAAACTTACATTGAAAGAGAAAAATCCCAAGTCTGGAAATTAAACAACCATTACAAATTGACAAAAAGAAAATTTTATCACATGGGCTCTTAGACTTTGAAATTATCAATGATACCCCTTTTACCCTTGTTAAATTAGGAATTTCTTTTCTAGTAGGATATTGATCCATGAGACTTGGTTGTTGCCAAGCCCTACACCTAACAAAAGCCCAGCAAAAGACAAAACTAACACCAACCACGCACCATCCCCCAACTTGTTGCCAATCCAAGCACCAGTCGCACATCAGCCAACTCCAAACAAGAACTAACTAGCCCCACACACAGCAGGAACATCCACAAAAATCCCAAACAAGACAAATCCTAACCAGAATCGCTCCCTTAGATTTTGAATTTTTTCAAAATCCTACATGTAAAGATATGTTGTGGATAGCTTGTTCTTTACTTTGAAAATCCTTTTTCAATCAACATAAGCTTTCTCTCAGTTTCTTATCAAGAAAAAAGAAATGTATAATAGATAATAACATGTCAATTCCTACACACAGAAGTCCGTTATATTTCAAGCAACATTTAAATTTTCATGTTGCATTGCACATTCTATAAAATCTTATTAAAGGCAGTCAAACAAAGAAAGTTCCTTGATTCCCATTATATTGTTCTGGCTCCTCAAAATTAACCAAAATGATCAACAAGACTATATAATTTATGTTCCTCATGGCAACATAAATGGTATTTACTATTCAGTTTACCTCTAAAAATGCATAACATGTTCTTTTTTATTCCAAACAATTGTAGTAAAAACCTAACAGCACTAGCCCCACAACTAGCAAAAAAACCCAGCCCCACCAGCCACCAGAAAAAACCCAGCCCCCAACCAGTAAAAAAACCCAACAACACGAGCCACCGAAAAAAACTCAGCCCCCAACCAACAAAAAAAACCCAACACCACCAGCCACCAAAAAAAACCCAACAGCAAAAAAAAAATGATGTCGAACGACCATTAGCAGCACCAACCCCCCAAGAGAACAAATACATAACACTACCAACAGCCAACCCAACACCACACTTCACCCACCCCAATCCAACGACCAACCCTAGGCCCCCCAAGAGAAAAAAAAAACCACAGACACACAACCAAAGCACATGGACAACAAACAATGACTCAATTTCACATAAGCTTGGAAAAAACAAAAAAAAAGATTTGATTAAGTGATTTGATTGAACTGCAACATCTAAAAAAGGAAGGAACTAGGAAGAAATACCTTCAATTCAATTAACAGATTCGATTTCAAGCAGGGAGGTATCATCATCGTCGATTATTTCAAATCTTATGGGAGCTGTCGAAGATCGAAGAAGAAGAAAAGATGAAAGATCAGAAGATGTCGAAGGCCTGAAGAATGGAGATTGAAGAAGAAGCGGCCGAAGATTTAATATCGAAGTCTGAAAAAGCCAAAGATTGAAGAAGATTAAACTTTGAACTTTGAAGATTGCAACTCACAAGTCATCCAAGGCCCGAAGATTGAAGATTAATGAAGAAGAAGCCAAAGATTTTGATGATTGAAGATCGAAATCAAAGAACCCAGAGATTGAAGAAGATTGAACTTTAAAGATCGAAGAAGCCGAAGTTTTATGGTGGTGTTACTTTTTGGTAACTTTGGTTTTGTTGAATGAAATTGGAAAGGGGAAAAGGGAAAAGGGAAAAGGGTTTTAATTTTTGTCTAACTAAGTCAACTTAAGCAAACCCGGTTTAGACCGGTTGGATTGGCGGCCCATCACAAAAAATTTGGTCCAATTGCAGTTCAAACTGGATTAATTAACATTTCTGGTTTTTTATTCTAACTTACCC